AGGTCATCATCACCTAGTCTCGATTGATATCCAACGTTGGTTCCCAATATGCATCAACCTTGAGCTTAGTTCTAAGACGGTAAACTGACTATACCAAAAGAAGGGCTTTTTCCTGTTTACTCTAAGAGTCTTGTAGTATGAGCAACAAGAATGCTACAAATGGTTAAAGATTTTAAGAACCCACCAGTAATAATATCAATTAGTAATAAAAATAAATTTTAAAATTGCTGTATATTGAAAGCATCCACAATCTGAATCACTGAAATACCGCACAACCCTGAATAATGTGGATTTGCTGTAGTCACACTTAGATTTACTCTTGGGGTAATTGGTGCTACGGAAGTTATACTGTAATTACTTCTTTTCTTCCTATTCTTCACTCTTACTGAACAACACAGTAACGACTGCCGTGAGTCAGAGATAATTCTATCGGACTCTGTCTTCTGCCAGTCAGCTTTGTGCCACAGGTAACGCAATCCTGATTCAACAGCTTCAGCATCTCTCGGATTGAAATGAACATGACCCAAAGTCCATTCCCCTTGGTTATTCTGCCTTTGACAATGGCGGCAGACAAACCCAACACTGCACACTCTTTCAACTTTTAGCCCCATTTAACGACTTGGGAAATGAAAAAGTCCTCAGGAAATAACATGAAGAACAGGAGCAACAAAAGATTATCTCGCTCCAGCTAGAGCTGTCGCCGTGTGGATTTGGTTTGCTGCCGCCTGTTACAAAGTGAATTGATGACGGAAAAGAGCGGCAAGGCGAGGAGGGGGTTTCCCCCACGCGCACCGGCCTGACGGTGGATGCAGATGTGCACGGCCTGCCTGCAGGTCTGCACAGCTGCAGCTACCCTCCTCAGCGCAAGCGAACGGGCTGCCAAGTACCTACTGGCAGTGGTGCCGCGCTGCCCGTGCTGGGTGAGGAAGTGTTGGGAGGCAGAAAGGCACTGCGGGCTTGCCGCTGCCCATCTGCGGGCCACGCTGCTGGAGGGAGGAAGATGCTGGTTTTCTCCTTCGTGCTTGTAAGCTTTGTGACTTCTCTCCAGATGGCGGATGGGGAGGGCTCGGGGAGCATGGCACAGCTCACTGCAGCACCCTTAAAACTGGCCGCGCTACCTGGAAGCTCACGCTCACGAGCTCTGTGTGGCTGACCATTACCCACCGATCAAAACCTCCACAGAGAAGCCCAACGAGACCAACAAAACAGTTCAATCCAGGGATAATTAAAACTTCACTTCACTTGCATCTACAGAAACGGTCAGCAAAATTTATTAGTGGCTTGTTTCAGTGGCAGCACATGTATGACACACACCGCTGTCACAATCTCCCTCCTGCTTCTCTCCTTTCCCCCAGTCCCACACCAAACATGGCAACTGGCACCAATTAGCAGTCTTTCAGCAGAGGGAACAGGAAAGGGTTTATACTGGTTTCTCCTGCTGCTGGTCCTCCAGGCTGGGCTGGAGCCGTACCAGTGGGGCTCTGGGGACGAAGCAGCCCTGTTTTAGATGAACTGAGAATTTCATCCCCCAAAAGTTATCAAACAAGCTTCTATCTTTCAGAAGCATAAAAGGCACCTCAGTGTAAAGAAAGAATGCGATACAATTTTGAAGTCCTCTCTTTCCCTCCTGAGGACAAACAGGCCCTTATCTAAAATCTAGAAAGCGATCCATTTGTAATCTGCACCTGCTTTACATCCCAACGCTTGGCACAAGGCAATGGAAGCTTGTCTAGCATTACTGTGAGCAGCCTTCATTTCAACAGAAATGAAATTAAATATTCAGAAATAAATTTGTAAAAAAATGATGAGGCATTTTAGACTTTTGATACATATGACTAAAAATAAAAACAGTTTCAACTTTGTGCCCACATTAGCAAATAAATCACACACACACACTTTGTTTTGAAACAAGGCGGCCACAGTAGTGAGACTAAAAGCTACAAATCGCTCAAGCAACAGAGAACCAAGTCACCTACTGACTTGGCAAGGCCTTTGTTTGTCTGCTTGTTTGTTTCTTAAGAGCAAACAAACAGGACATACAATTAACAACACAGCAATGACATCGGGCTGCCTCCCTTCGGATGCTGAGATGGCAACACTTCAACCCTTTCTGGTTCATCTTTTGGGTTTAGTTTTGCAAGGGTACGAAATGGAAGTTTCCATTTCCTGGTACAGTAATTTAAAAGACGAGAAGGTGGGAAAAAGAATCCTTAAAGCAATCTTTAAAAAGAGTCAATGTTATTCATTAACACATGACAGTTATACAAGTTTAAATAATAATAAAAAAAAGTCTCCTTTTTTTTCCCCTAAAAAGGAAAACAACAACAACTACCGATATTTGCCCTTTAGATGTTATTTTGTAGGTGGCTGCTCTTATGCTGTGGGCAGAGATGACCTGAAAGCAAAGGAGTACTTAAATCCTTAGAACACTCCAGACATTCTACCTTCATTTTTAGATTCTCTGATTGCTTAGATTCTATCTTTTTTTTTTTTTTTTTCTCCTCCTCCTGGAAATGTAGTCATTGGGCAAAGCTAGACCAAGATTGCCCACAAAAACCTAGTGACCTGTCCTCCTAAGTCCTCCTAACTACCAGCAAGTCTCTCTGGGAAGATAAAATGAGAAGGAAAAAACAAAAAAAGCCATTACACTCGTGTCTTGACATCTCTTAAATCCCCAAGGATACCAAACAAATGTACAGCAAGTAAACTAAAAATTATTCTTTTCCTAAATCCCCTCAGTCTGCAACTATCCTGCAATTCACTTTTATCATTTGTGCGTACAAGATGTTTACAAAATGATCAAATATGATCACAATGTTCCCTTAAAAACTGCCTAGTAACAATTTGGCCATGAGACCGCAAAAAAAAAAAAAAAAAAAAAAAAAACAAAAAAAAAAAAAAAAAAAAAATCAGAAAAAATGCCAACAGGACCAGAAGAGCCATTGCCCAAGGAGTTTTAATTCAAACCAGAAACTTCAATTTCAGTGACTCATATTTTCAATTACTTTCTGAGGTTAGAAGGCAGTGGGCTATCTAACAAAATGTTTTAAATATATGGAAAAACATCTTTGTTTCATGGCCTCCATAAAACGAGTGGGGCAGTTTTAAGTTGAGATTCCAATTCGCAGAGTAAAAATCACACAAATAGCACTGAAAGTCAAACCGTTTGGCAAAGAAAGCACTTGAAGACAGAGTCATCTTTGCACCTCTCAAAAGCTGGTCATTTTAGATTAATGAAGATGTGCTTTGGCAAAACAGCCTGGTGAACACACGCCCTATCTCTAGACATATATACACACATATATGCACATACTGTGCACAGTTTGGTTTTCCCCCTTGCATGTCAATTACAGCCCAAAGTTTTTTCCCCCATTAACCCTATTTTCTTTCTTGTCCACAAAAAAAAAAGAAGCCAAGCTGACTTTTTATTCTAACATCAAGTTTCATTTCTGCAGATGATCTGATTTTCCAAGGCAAGACAGCTTCTGTTAAATGCAACCAGGATAAAAAATAGAAGCAAGGGCAAAAGTCTTGAGAGGTATCTACAATGATGGAACGGACATTCGCCATTGAACTTAGCAGGAAGACGGTTTAAATCCTACCAGAACAACAGAGAGAGGCAACAGAGCTCTTGACTGAAAGTGCAAATATGGTTTAGGAAAATAATTTTACAGAAAACGTGCCAAGTCGTTCCACTAGGGAGCAAACACTGAGTCATGTTTGGTCCTCAGAGGTACACACAGCTTTCACTGACTTCAACATAAGCGTAAACCACTATCAGAAGATTCAAGAGAAACTCAGTAGCCTTCTGAGATTTGGCTATGGTAAATGAGAGCTTTAAGGCTTTTATGCTACAGGTACCTTAGCCAAAGGCCTTAAGAGGGGCTATAAATACTAACGAGGAAAAGGTCAAGACATCTTTCAGCCTGCTAAAGAGTCAGGATCCTTCCTTCTCTATTCCTGGCACATTTCTGATATACCAGAACAGAGGATAAGACAATATCAGTCCCCATTCTGCTCTCATCCAACTAAAGATGGGCATATTTTTTTTTGAATACAAACAAGAAAAATCTTTCTTCACCACAAAATATTTTAAACATCTCATAAAATGACATAGCATTCCTCTTTCTGTTTAGGGAGGAGAAGCTCACTGTCTGCTGCAGTTAGCAGGAAATTCCATTGACAATACAACAAATCAATCAATGGTCTCAAAAGCCTATGGTTCAATCATATGGGTTACAAAGAGCTTGGATTTCACAGCCGAATGTGCTTTTCTCTAAGATTTATCTCTGAACTTTTGATTAGAGAAATGAATTGGAAGAAACTGCTCAGTGAAAATGAAGATATTTGGAAGGAAAAATTAATTAAATCAGTACGGCATGACACAAAGACCGTCTGGTGCCCATAAAAACAACAGAAGCTACACAGCTCAGAATTAAAAACGAGGGAGGAAAGCTGCCTTACTGCTTATAGGTCTGGCAAAAGCTGCAAACTCTTTCAGCTGAGGATTAGCGAATGCAGAGATAGGACTGTTTGAAAGCAGCAAGCAGCTAGGACTTAGCCAGACCCTCAGCTAGGATGCATCAGGAAGGGCTAGGAAGGCCTGAGAAACTCTGCTGAGTCACAGTAATTGAGAAGCAATGTGAAACAGTTCCCTCTAAACAACCTAAAAAACCTTTTCTGTGCATTTTGGAACATGGGCATTTTGGCCTGCGATCTCTTGTGCCTGAAAAGCTCAGTGACAAAGGGCCAAAAAAAAAAAAAAAATTACAAAAGAGAGATTATAGAATAATGCTGTTAAAGTTTATGACAACAGACCTTGAAGATTTAAAATCCACATTAAAGATTTTCTGCAGACAGACCACAGTGTCAGAAGGTCAAACGATACATTTGCTATTAAGGAAATCACCAGGTACATCAGGATATATTTCTGTATTGCAATAAAAGAATTTAAATATTAAATGATACTGGGGAGCTATATCAGAATGATAGGTACTTACATTACAATTGGAAGACCCATCAAATGTTGAGTAAGAACCATCAGGCCATTCTGTAGCATCTACAGTGCTCGACTGCCTGTGCTGGGCTTCATACTCTTTCAGCTAAAATTTGAAAAGACAGAGAGAACACGTTTCAGTGAGAAGCAGTTATCAATCTTCAATAAAATAACAAGAGTTAATGTCCTTTAAGGTTTTTTTCCCCCCCCATATCATTGTGGAACTGGAAAAAGCGGAACTTCTCAATTGCATGTCTCAATTGCTCAGAATAAATTAATTTGCTTTAGAATCAGAAGTTTTAATGATGAGTTTTTTTGGGTTTTTCAAAGGAAGTGATCTGTAAACACTGAGTTTTGATTAACTGTCATCAGTAAAATATAAGTTACACATCCCTGTCTCAGAGGTACAGTTTCCACCAGACAGACTTAATCACAATAGCCTGCCAATTTCCTTCATAAAGAAAACGATCTGCAGTAAAGACTAGGAACCATCTTTTATAATTTTAAAACTAAAGACCATCTTTCCCATTTTCCAGTGACAGCCTTAAGACATAAACCCAATCCTACTGGAGTCAAACTGTTGAGAGGATCATCAAGAACTGATGACATGAAAAAAAAAAAAAGTTGCTGCAAATGGGTCAGACCACTAGAGGGAAACTACCAGTACATATATTAACCACACAGATTAGGTACAGGACACACATCTCCCTTTAAAATTTGTACCAACCCAGAAGTAAAAGAATTCCCAATATTACCACCCAGTAATCTCAATTTTTTTCTTTTTTCTTCATTATATGATTCCCAGCAAAGCAATATTTTCCTCAGACTATAACATAACTTTGTGCTCTAGGATAATCTCGGGTAATCTATTTCAAAATGTAGTAAGTCAGTACAGAAATTTATCTGAGTGCCAATTCACAATCTAAATTATGTTTTCTGCACCTCTAGTGGAGCCCGTACAGAAATACCCTGTGCTCCTTCACAGTATTTTGCACAAGGGTACAAAATCGGAAGTGGTATGGAAACTTTAACACCGACCTTTTTGCTCCTGGGCAATTAAAATCTCAGCTCTATTGCTCCACAAGTACAATTCCTTACAGTTGTTTTTCTTGTGGTTTATTAACATTTAGATTTTGCAAAATGTCAAATTCCAAAAATGGCTGAATATGTTTTCTTTGAAGGCTGTTAAAACAAAACACCACCTCTTTGGCTAAGAAACAAGCAGGAGAAATTTCAGCTTACACGTTAGTATTTTTAAAAGTTTTAATTGCTGAAAATGGAAGCCTTCAATGAAGCTGCCCTTCAGCCTTTAGGAGCAGGAACAGAATAAGAAATATACATGTTCTGAAACAAGGCAAGCTCAGCAAAACTTGAAGCATTTCTTTCAGTACTTAAACAAACCCCACCTGCGCCCCTGATCCCTCAACCAGTCGCCCCAGTGCCCTGAAATCCCTTTCAGTACTTAAACAAACCTAGGAACATGCATGATAAATAAGGACTAGTACAGGTAGGATTCATCTTCCTTACCTTTAGACAGCTGCAATGAAAATGTCTACATGAGCTGTTCTCTGATTTGCACCCTTTACTGCCAATGGAGAACAGCAAATGCTTTTAGGACTTGATTAATTTGCCATATGCTAGACATCTATTTTTGGTTGAGCTAAATTTCACTTCTTCCCATAAACAAAGGAATTGCTATCTAATTTATGCTACCTGGTGCGATGGGACAAACAGCCAAGCTTTCTCCCCTTCTCCTATCTTTTCTGAGCAAAGGAAAACTCTGAATCAGTATATCCTACATCCTAAGAAACATTTCTCCAGGAAGATGTGAAGTGTGTACATATCATACCCTAGCGAGTGCTTCCTCAATGGTGATCATCTTCTCTTTGACCATCATCATCAGCTGGATCCGCTCCTCATCACTCATTGTGATCTCACTGGCCACGTACCCTACATCCTCTCCTGCAGGAAAAAGCACAGAGATAACAAGCACATGTAAGAAGTCAGGCACAGAGTGGGCTATATTGAAACTGGATTTTATCCAGTGCTCTGACACCCGGTCGCCACGTGGATCTGGCTGGCCAGAAACAGACCTTCCACAGAGCAGCCTCATAATATGATTTCAAAGGACTGAATGATTTGAAAGTAACTGAGGAGGAAAAACGTGGCTGTCATCACATACTTACTGACCCTGAATGACAAGAATCAAAAGAGAGAGTGCTAATGCCAGCAAAGTCCTGCGCTCAGCCCCGAGGAGTACCGCAGTCAGCTGCCAGAGGGGATGGGAAGCCCTTCCAGGAATGGCATGCTGGGCCCTCGCAACTCTCTGCTGCGGACTGGCCACGTCCCCCAATTTGTCCAGGCTACCTCGTCGGCCACTGAGCTGGCGCCTGGTGCTGGATGTATTGGGGTTCTCAGCTCCAGGACCTCTCTTTTTGGTATGAGCTTGGTGTGTCAGGACAGACAGTTAGAACTTGCCTCGAGAGCCAGCAAGCACCCACACTTAACTGAGAGCGTGAATGTGCCCCTTTTTGACCTCGTAAGTGGGCTCCAGTCATCTTTCACAACCCATCTGAACACAGACACAGTGACATGGGGAAGCATCTGCGTGCAACAGAAGGATCTATCTAACAGATATGCACAGGGAAACAGAAATTTTCTCAGTGAAAAGAAATACTTAAAGCAATGCACAGCTGTGTCTTTGAAGAAGAACTAGAGAAAGACACCTGAGAGCTTAAGTGGAACCGATCCTACGTTTGCACTAGTCACCAGATGCATTTTTACTACTCTTTCTTGTAGTGTCTTCTCCTACAATGAGAGACTGGATTCAAGCCTAAAGCAAACATGTCAAAGTAACCAAATGCCAAAGAAAGGAAAAAACATCTTTCTAATTAAAAGAGATGAGCATTTCCCTCATTAAGTCAGGATCAGAAAAAAAAGCATCTTATTCATTTACAGATATTACTGATAAATATATATTAAGTGCATCACTTTATGCACGTGCATTGACTGACAGTCAGGACTGAAGGCGTCCCAGCCCCACGCAGATGCAGTCTCACAGAATAGGACTCATCTTTCTGAGCTGTCGCGATGCACCAAACCTGCGGCACTTCCAGAGCTACAGACCCCCATCAGCCACACGGTTGCAAGTGAGTTTTACCCCTTTGTGATGCTGGCTCTTTCTATTTTATATGGATAGGTTATGTGACCTTAAAAAAGATTTACCTTTTGAAGTCTGCCTCATTAGTCCTTTCTGGTTCTTTCGGAAATTCTGCCAGAAAAACTTATTTTTCTTTTTCCAGTCTGCTTTCCCTAAAAGGAAAGTGGGGAGGGAGGATAAGGGGAAAGGGAAGAAGAATTTCAGAAAGAAACATTAGTTAGTAAATGCTAGAGAAGCTTTCAAGCATTAAGTTGTATTTTCTAAGTCAAAAACAAGAATAAAAAAGCCTCAAATTTTCCATTGTTCTTGATTTATTCTGTAGAACTATGCTGATGTAGCTCTTTCAGGGAAACGCACATTCTTTTATCATTGCCAATGCTATAGAGGACTGAGATAAGCCAGTAACTTACGTATTTTGAATTATAAAAGGAAAATATTTTAGATTCATTTTGATATCTGTTGAGTTGTTAATGTCAAGTCTGGAAGTGTTTTTGAAGCATTTTGCTGGTTTGTTCTCTTTAACTGAACCACAATTATGCAGCCTAAGCCACAACTCAGATAAGTAATTTTCTAATACGTTTATGCAGATCTGTACAGAAAATACTTTACATATGTATAAATGCACACACATATGCGCGCACATGCATATACATTCAGCTACGTGGCATGAGAAATTTTCTGAGACCTTCAGCTACATCCCACTCTTGCCCTCTGTATGCCTGGGCTGTACAAGGCTGGGTCTGCACCTCCAGTAATATCAGATCTGCACATGGCTTGATGACCCAGAAGCAAATAATTTGTTCTAAAAAGGAAATGGGATCAGGCTCAAGGTAGGGTATATAACTGCGTTCTGTTGAATTAACCAGGGCACACTCTATGAAGTTTATGTCACCTCTAAGAGAACGTACCATGCCTGATCTGGCAGAAATGCTACTGATAAAGAGCTACTTCATCCTTCTGCTTTTGAAAAATTCAAAGGAACACAGTTTACGCTGGGCCACTGAGTTTCAGCATATGACTACAGCATTTTGAATCTCGCCCTAGAGCTGGGTTTACTGACTCTCTGAAACACAGCTTAAGTTTAGACTGTGTGGAAACGTCCCTAGAAAAAAAAAGGAACAAACCAAAATCCTCCCGGTTTTTCTTTTCCTCTCCAATAAGTAAAACAAAATTGGTCCAGAATTCTATCAGCTCAGCTAATAAGTTAGGACAGCAATATGAACCAACTATAGTAAGTTAAAAATAAAGAAAGTGAAAGACAATGGAAAACTAATACATATTTAAGAGTGCAAAATATGTCAGAAACAAAGGGAGAGACTGTGGTGTGACATGAACAAAACCAGCAGAAACCCCAGTTATTCACTGGCAGCGGTAATTTTCAGAACACAAATGAATAGGCTAACAGTGATCTAACATGCAGATATTTGAAATTCAACATCACAAGTCAAAAGATGCATATTTAACCACATGACAACGCTGCTTGGGCAGTCTCAGTGATCACTGAGACACCCAGCATCTAACTTTCAAAGCTGCTAAGACTCGCCTCCCCACCTCCCCCACAAATGCTGCTGACTTCTGTCAGCATTGTGTTTATTCAGCTCTTCAGATCCCAGCACAAGCAAAACTCAAAACCTGTTTAAGAATTCCACAGGAGTATCAAATAAAATGAAATATACTGACCTACAGAGCCTTCTTCTGAACTTGATTTATGAATGGTGAGCCTAGGACAAAAAAAGAGGAATGGACTTATTGATGCAGGCTTCTCACATTTCATGGGAGCTGTCTGATTACAGTAAATTAAAGTTTCTAAACAATATATCATGAGCAGTTTTCTCTTCCCTTTTCTTCTCAACACAGCAAGTTGGAAACAAAAACTGAACCCACTGGTATGACCACAGTAACTGAGTTTCCCTCTTAAACACGCCTTTTGTGACCAGCATAGAAAAATAAATACTGACAGAAACTTATGGTTAAGGCAAAGGAGTCTATGGATCCTTCAGAAAAGCACATGCTTTCCGTTTGTAAAACCGTAATTTGGCTGCCTTAGAAACTGTAGCACTGGGATGCTGGATTTGTTTAGCTGTATAGCAGTTTTTGGCCTATTTGGTATTTACGTGAAAACGCTTTATAAATATGCACTCATTAAACTTTCAGAAGCCACTGAGTGAGAGAGAGCAGTAGAGATTTAAGGACAAGGCGAACAAAGCTTGTCCAGACCCTACGAAGTGCAGCCAGAGATGACTGGAGACTACTGCTTCTTTCTCCCGAGCCCCTTCTGGGTGCTTTCCCACCAGCATACACTCCCTTCCTCAAAAGCTAGCTGGAGAGACTGACTTTAACAGAACACAGACTTTACAAACAACCCACTAAAACAGTAAGTAAACCTTTTCTCCTCGGTCATTATGTTCATTATACCAGTTTTCCATAATGGATTCCAACTCGGTGCCAACAGTTCGTTGTGGGATCTCTGATGAGACAACATCACCCTGCTTCACTGCATGTTTTTTTTCTGTCTGCATAAATGGAGCTAACAGAAATTACCCAATCTTGTGCTAGTCTTTGAAGCCTTGCTATGGGAATGCCTATTTAACCACGCTGTGCCAAGCCAGCGAAATGACTTCTGCCAGCTTCAACGGCTTCGCTGGAGGCTCCAAGCGCAAAGCCCTACTGCGGCGCCTTAGCCGAGCGCTCGGCCCCGCGACACCACGCAGCCCTGCCATGCAGGACGGAAACACGCGTGCCCCAGCACGCCGGAGCCCCGCGCTAACACACGCACGCCATACTCTGGCGGCTGCCCGCAGGGTTAGCACAGGCTCCTTGCGATTTCTCGGACCCCCAGAAGAGGGCAACGAAGAGTTTTTGATCAATTCGGGAAACCGCTTGAAAGAGAATTTTAGTTCAAGCTGGTTCAGAATTTCGAAGATGTAAGCAATTACTGGCCAACGTTTTGGAAGCATGAAAACACGCTCATCAATTTGCAAAGACATCATTAAAGGGGAAACGAGACAGTATGAAGTTTCAGTTTCATTTAGTAATTCATCTAGACAAGGAGGGTTTGGCACAGCGAAGCTCTGAAATGTAGCCTTCTTTCAACCTCAGACTGACTAGAAATTTAATCCAGAACAAACTGCAAACTAACTGAAGCAGCCAAATTTCAGATTTGTAGCGCACCAGGCGGAGGGAGACATTCAGTGTTTTCCTTGCTGATGAAGTTTACCCTTGAAAGGGAAAAGCTAATGATATAGGCGATATGCCACCAAATCCTTAGTTTTTAAGAAGCCTGAATAACAAACGCAGGAGAAAAAACACACACCCTGTACTTTCTGGGTAAAAACTCCAGAAAAGCCAGTGTCAAAATTCAAAGAGACTTTCAACAGGACTACAATTCAATCCTGACTCTTAAAAGTTAAGTTGTCAGCGAGTATTTTTCTAAAAAAAGGAAATCAGATCAAAAGTATGTGGACTTGTATATGAAGAGAAGCAAGCAAAAAGACAGCCAAATTCTGTTGGAACCGACAGAATTAATCCACTACATGTTTTGCATCTGAGCATAGACCTCACCCATCAAGTAGTTATTCTATTTATCTTGATTTAAATTAGTATCCATGAAATGCACCAAATCACCGTCCTTGGAAGATGAAATCTGTTAATGACCAGAACCCTGCCTCACTAGTGAAATCCAGCCTCAAAGCGGAGAGGCAGTCTCTTGTGCTCTTCAGCCTCCAAATCCACTTTAATCCTCCTCTTCTCTCACGCAGTTGCCAACAACGATGCAAGTCAGTAGCAGGTGTAGTGGCAATGTTTGTGCTGTGGACATCTGTTCCCTGGGAGTCAGCCTGAGGCCACCAACTCGCCGCACACGGCCCTCCAAAGCAGGGGAAGAGCAGTAGGGGCAAACATCTCGCGCGCCTGAGCTAGAAGTGGTGAGGAGAAGAGTAGGATCCACAGCAAGCAGCCCACCTTCTCATTTATAACTGATTTAGGAACCATGCTGAGTTTCATCAGAGGACACAAATTCCAATTATCATTTCATGCATTCCCTAAAGAGGAAGCCTGCCATGCCTGGGCTGACCTCGAAAATGCTAACAACTGGTCTGAAGAGGTGGAAATGCCAGCAAAACTTACCGCACAGGGCCTGATAAGGCACTTGCGTTTTTGCTCTACCAGACAACTCCGACGCTCAAAGATCCTCAGTGAAATCAATCAAGCGTTTTACTTCCTAGACGTCTGGTGAAAAATTCCAGAGTACCTCAGAGTCGCTGTATGTTTGATTTGCCAATTACACTCCCTTACTCTGTTAAATCTGCAGCTCCTCTGTGAACGTGCACTGAAAGTGATTTGTGTTCTTCCATTCATAGACTGATAACTTGCACTGAAAGTTAATGATGCAGTGACACTTGGCAGAAGTTTCAGCACTGCGTGTCTGAAAGGGAGCCAAATGCCATTACTCCACCGTGGAGGCCTTCATTTTTGTTGTGGTCTGATGTACAACTTCATTAGCAAGCTTTCACAAGAAACGTACTTTGTCACAGCATATAGCAGAAGAAATGTATGGGTATGCGTTCAGACAAGAAGGAAGAAAAAAAGATTTACAGCCAGAGGGAAGGAGTACTTTCTTATCAAGGCATAATCTCTGGAAGTGGGCTGCAGAAGGGGTCAAAACTAATGCATTAATCTCCCAAATTCAAAGCCATCTCTAGGCTGATACTTCGGGCCTCTTGGAGCTAAACTGCTGAAATAAACAAAAGAGGGAAAACAAATAAAGGCACAATAGATAATCTGAAAATGGAGTTACTTTTGGGAGTAACCACGTATCACTCCCTTAGAGAGATAATGGGTTTCAGCAGAGTTTAGTAAATTACATCAGACCACTCAGTGATCAGCGACACAAAAATTAGTAGCAACAGCAAGAGTGGAGAACCTGGACTAGGAACAAGCTGATTAGAAAGACTGGCTTAACAGAAATGAATATACACTCCACACTAAAACGAGCAAGTACACAAACAGGACTGGCACAAAAGTCAGTCTGTCAAATGCTGGAGGTTCGCAAATGACAGGAGTACCTGGGGATACCAGCTGAAAAAGGATGACAGAGAAAAAACCAACAATCCTAAAAGGTGTCAGGATGGGAAATCCCAATGGCAGTACAAAGAATGAATATATATGGGAATAGCTGTACAATTGTCATTACTCCTGCTCAGGAACGACAAATTCAAACCAGCAGCAGTAAAGAGAAAAGTTGTTAGAATGGTCAGGGAACTAGACAGCTTATCTTACAAGAGAAATCTAGGAAAGTTTTGCCTGTTCAGTCTGTCAAAATTGAAAGTTGCAAGGACTAATTTGCTGCCTATTAATAAATCAGGCACAGGAACAAGCAGACATAAGTTGGAAAAAATTAGAAAAGAGGAGTTAACATTTCATAATCATTTAAACAAACTTCCCACAGTAGGTAGAGAAAGGGAGGGCAGGTTTAAAAACTAACTGCTTTTAAGAGGGTGCTTGAAAGATAGAGACCAGCTGTCTCTGACAACAAAGCACTGGACATGAGGACTGCCTCTGGAGGCAACTGCTGGCTCTTCTTTTGCAGCCTGTGGGTTTTGTATGAACAATGGCAAAGCCAGGCATCCAAAATGGTCTTTGACTGTACCCTTCCATAAAAGTGCCGCAGTGGTGATGACGTTGCTATACCTCAGCAATCCCTCCCTTTAATAAATTAGCCCTTGAATCCTGGAGATGGGCTCCAAAATGTGGAGTGCAAGGAAGAACCAATGCACACATTTGTGTTGCAAGCCAACTGAGACTGCACCTGATTATTAAGATGGGTTTTAACCAGGCTGCATCGAGCTACTAGGCTACAGATTTCCCTGTTAACTCTGGACTGATCCTGATCTCAGACAGAAAACGCTAGGGCTTATCTCGCATACAGAGCAGCTGATTACAAGAGACACGGCCATACGTGCCCCGAAATGTGAATGTGCTGGTACACCGCAGAACTGGGAAAACAAACAAATGACACCATGTGCTGCTTTCATCAATGTGCCTGTTGATTTTTGAAAGCTCATCATTCTCAGAACAGAACAAACATGGGAACTGAGAATGACAGGATTTCTGACGGGTTTTTGTTTCAACACTAAGTATTTTAAATGCAGATGTGCTTTAACACATGGCCGCATCTCATTTATGGACCATAAAATCTACAGGTGCATAGCATCATCTGATAACGAAACCACTACTGTTATGATCTTCAATAAACTGATAGTGGCCCTCTTATTCCTTCCCAACGACTATTTATAGCCCATTGAGGAAAATGCTTTGGATGGGATTTTCAATCTACATATATTAAGCACATTCATAGCAGTGAATAAACTGATGCAAAAGCCCACGCTGGCTCTGCTGCAAAGCCATTTGGTTACCCGCGTGCATTAGAAATGGCCCAGTCACATAATTAGTATGAAAAACTGACAGACTTGTAACTGCTCCTGACTGAATACAAGATAATTTATCTAACCGGAGCTGGCACAGGGAAGAAAACGGGCCTTTGGTATTTTTATCAGATTTGCATGAACCTGAAGAGAAAGGCATGAACCTGAAGAGAAAGCAGGCCTGCAAGGCTCTGACCTTGCTGGCACCAGTGTGAGAAAGGGATCGAAAGCAAAGACATTTCATTCAATTATCTTCTCATTAGGTTTCCATAGCAATGGCTCTTTAAGCAGGTCAAAAC